ATTCTATGAAAGGCCTTCGGGTCTTACTTTTCCTAAGACTTTATATAAATATCAACGCTTTTCAAACAGCTCACAAGTCAAACATCAAAAATGCAGTCAATATAGAATATTTTCTAATTAAACTTTCTAAAACTTCATTGGCTTTATCTGAAAAGGATGACTTTCCACAGTGTTCATTGTTTTGAATTCACTATAAAAAGAAAGTGATCCAGCCAGGCACAGTGGCTCACGCCTGTAATCCCAACACTTTGGGAAGCCAAGGCAAGCGGATCACAAGGTCAGAAGTTTGAGACCAACCTGGTCAACATGGTGAAACCCTGTCTCTACTAAAAATACAAAAAATTAGCCGGGCATGGTGACAGGTGCCTGTAATCCCAGCTACTCAGGAGCCTGAGGCAGTTGAATCACTTCAACCCAGGAGGCGGAGGTTACGGTAAGCCCAGAATGCACCACTGCACACCAACCTGGGTGACAAAGCAAGACTCCATCTCAACAAAAAGAAAGTGATTGTAGGAAGAAATGTAATTCTCAGTATTAAAACACCAATACTGCATATTTTTTCAAGAGCTGTAACAGACTTCTTATCTGCTCTAAAAGCAAAGTAGTAAAATTTTTAAAAAGCAAAAAAGAAAAGATTTTATAGAAAAATTGACTTAGAAACATTCATTCAAATCTTCTTTCCACACATCTCAGGATCTCAATAAATTTGAAATCCTAAAATTCTGAAGTTGCTTGGATGATCTCTAAACTCCTAAACTGGTATCATCAGAAAACATTATAGTTCTATATACAACTTATACAGTTTCCTTAAGCATTCAAGAAGAAACTTGTATGATACAACTTTCCACTGAATTAGGTCAAGACCCTATTAGGCCTTATGGGACACAATGTCTTTTAGAACCCCTTTTTTTTTTTCATGGATAACATCCCAAGGTGACCCATGTTGACACTGGTTGGTAGAAAAGTCATAGTTCACAACTTAACTTTACAACCAAATGAAGCACTTTCATCTTCAGGATTACTTTCTACAAAAATTCATTCAAATTATTTTTTATTTTCAAATAATAAACACCTCCTAATCCTTTTTTGAGGATAGTGTTTTAAGTCACGTTGTTGCCATATTACCTTTTAAATTTTTTAAATATATACTTACATTAACAAATACAGAAAAATGTGATGTCAATGTAATTTGCATTAAGAATTAACATTTCTGAAAGCTAAGAAATATTGAAAATATTTATACAAGTAAATATATTCGTCTGTTAAACCAGTATCACATTTGTGATTTATATTTCATGCTAATCAGATCTGAATAATGAAAGAAATTCCTAATTTAACAATGGTTTACATTCTTCAAAAAATTATTTTCCTTATACTTTACCTCCCTAGGTAACCGATCACATTGCTAATCATGTGTAATGATAATGGATTTTCATGTCAGTTAGAGGAATTTGTTATAAATTTCTAGTTAATTTACAAAGAACCTGTAAGGAATGTTTAGTGCCCTGAATTTTTTAAGCTGCATTTTCTTATATATATACATATATATATATATATATATATATATATATATATAGTTTTTGCTTTTTTTAAGAGACATGGTCTCACCCCGTTGCCCAGGCTGGAGTGCAGTGGTGCCATCCTAGCTCACTGCAGCTTCAAACACTTGGACTCAAGCGATCCTCCTGCCTCAGACTCTCAAGTGACTAGGACTTCAGGTGCAAGCCACCATACTCATCTAATTTTTTATTTAAGTAGAGACATGGTCTCGTCTCACTGTGTTGCCCAGGCTGGTCTCTTTGGTTAGGGTTAGGGTTAGATTAGGGCCTCAAGCCAAATACATATACCTGTAAACAATATTACATCATATCTCTTTTACTGTACGTGAGCATAAATACATATACACATATGTGTATGTGTGTATGTAAAACTTCATGTATACATATATACATTTGCTTCCCGCTGCTATGGCAAAATACCATTAAAGAATGCCCCACAGTCCTAGACTGTTGTACGAATAAACATTTCTATTCTAAATTTGCTTTATGTATATGTTGATGCCACTATTTCTATGTTACATATTCCCTTATATGTCTAGGAATATGTATGTGTATGTGTATGTTTGTCTTTATTCCTAGTGAGATCTTTTCCTAGGCCCTGTGTCTGTGATTCACTCCAGAAAATATTGTTCCTTGAGAGCTGCAGTTTCAAAACAGGAGACTCAGGCTGGGCTCAGTGGCTCACTCCTCTAATTCCAACACTCTGGGAGGCCAAAGGAAGAGGATAGCTTGAGCCCAGGAGTTCAAACCAGCCTAGGTAACACAGGTAGACTCCATCTCCACAAAAATTAAAATAAAAAAATTAGGCAGGCAAAAGGATTGGAGAGAAGTTGTCAGAGAATGGTTTACAATTTTAACTTTTTGTCTGCACAGAGGAAAAAAAGAATCTATATGAAAAAAATCTATATTATAAAAAAAAGAATTCATATAGAATCTATACAGAAAAAAAAGAATCGATATAAAAAAAGAATTTATATTTTTCTCCAAGGAGCAAGGAACAAACTACCAATGTTTTTAAGTTGCAGACAGCATCTGTACATCCAGTACAGAAATTTTATTTTAAAAGTTCACTCAGGGCCGGCAATAATGGCTCACGCCTATAATCTCTCCCTGCACTTTGAGAGGTCAAGGCAGGAGGATCACCTGAGCTTGAGCAACATAGCAAGATCCCATCTCTACCAAAACAAAAACTAATTTAAAAAACAAAATAAAATAAATAGCCAAGTATGGAGGCACACACCTGTGGTCCTAGCTACGAGGAAGGCTGAGCTAAGGGAAGTGCTTGGGTCCAGGAGATCAAGGCTGCAGTGAGCCATGATTGTGTCACTGCACTCCAGCCTGAATGACAGAGTAAGACCTTGTCTCAAAAATTAAAAAATAAATAAAAGTTCACAGGGGCAAGAAAGAAAATAAGAATAGATTCTGTTAAATAAAATTTATAGCAGGTGATTGGACTGAGCACCTATACCAGGCCTAACAGACCAAACCAAAATGGAGTTACTCATGCTGAAGTTCCACTCACTACGCCAAACTAAGCTGTTTATCTGACCTTCCAAGAAATCAGAAGAAAGAGAGGTAATAGCCAAATGCGCAAATGGGCCAGCTTTAGCGGGCATGATAAGGAAATTCCCTCTGCTTTAACCTTTACAAAGGAAGTAACGTTGCAATGGGAACCCACTTTTTGTTCTATTTCTGCTTTCTTCAGCCATTTTCTGACTATAAAGTCAATCTGCTATGCTTACCTCATCAGAGCATTCCTTTTGAGGTGTTGCCTAACACTAGAATTGCAGAGAAAAGCCAATTAAAATTTTTAAGCTAAATTTGTTTTGTCTTTTGTTAATTCTATAAGGAAAATGGAAAATGAGTGGATGTAGAAAAGGATGAATGGCCTTCAAATATTCTACCTGGTAGCAGATAAACCAAACAGTCAAGTTCTTACCTTTAAAAAATGTATCAAGTACCTGATTCAAATGCATACCTATGGATGCATGCAGACATAAACCCCAATACTGGAGCGTACATTTACTCTTTTCTCCACCCAGCATGCAACTGCCCTACTCAGTGGAACATTCATCTTGCTTTTGTGTGGGAAGGGTCAGGCCTTTTTCACACTTTTGACCCTTGTATTTCAGGGTCATCCCCAGCTCCAGAGGTAGAACATTCAACCCAGGCCTAATCATCCTACTGGCCTCAGTGATTTGCTCACTTGAGCCAATCAGACCAACCAGAGACAATCTTGGGCATTTTGTTTGAATGACTTGGAAGAGGCCCTCCCTCTTTCTCATTGTGCCTGATGCCAAGAGGATGTAGATGGTGGAGCAATGGCAGTCATTTTGGCCCCAGGAGGGAGGGAATGAAGCTGCCAGGGGGTACCACTGGGGCCTGAAATGAAGCCAGGACTGAGAGAAGAGAAACCACATCCTGGTGACAGCATGAGAACTCGGGATCCAGCCATTCTTGAAGCCAAGCTGATTCTGGACTTTTCAATTATAATAACAAAAAAGTTTCTCCTTTTTTTTTTTTTTTTTTTCTTAATCCAGTTGGAATTAGGATTTTTTGTTTGGATTTTGTTTTGGTCATTTGCAACTGGTAGAGTCTTAACTGGTAAATCAAGACCCTGACAGCCTAATGATGACATAACAAATTCATAGAAATTCCACTGCTCAACTGCCTTTATCAGTCATATGCCAAGTGTGTCCTCTTTCTTCATATTTCGAATTCCTTGTTCACAGGACTTCAGTAACCCTGTTAAAGGGTGCAATTCAATCAACGCAAATCTGATATATCAAATAATAATGGCTTTTATATGTATTATCTACAAAATTCATTTCATGAACATCTTGTAAATCCAAAAAAGCAACACCGAAGGAAATAGTATTCACGGTTTAGTGATTAAGAACTAACTAAAATATGGCCAGGTGCAGTGGCTCATGCCTATAATCCCAGCACTTTGGGAGGCCGAGACGGGTGGATCACAACGTCAAGAGATCAAGGTCATCCTGGTCAACATGGTGAAACCCCGTCTCTACTAAAAATATAAAAATTGGCTGGGCATGGCGGCGCACGCCTGTAGTCCCAGCTACTCGGGAAGCTGAGGCAGGAGAATTGCTTGAACCCAGGAGGCTGAGGTTTCGGTGAGCCAAGATGGCACCACTGCACTCCAGCCCAGGCTGGAGTAACAAGAGTGAAACTCCATTTCAAAAAAAAAAAGAACTAACTAAAATGTTTTAAAGTTTACTTGGCACTAAGACCTCATGGCTAGAAAGCAGTAAGGGCCAGGTCTTGTTTTCATTATTCTTTATTATCTTTATGTTGATTATTCTTTGCATCACGCCACAAATATTTTTACCTTCAAAAGTATAATTGGCTATAAGTGCAAACAAGACATAAATATTAAGCAAATTAAGAGATATAAGACTTTTTAAAATAGTATAATCTTACCTAAATCAGTATCTCGAATTCCCATGTACAATTCAAGAACATCATCAATCTTTTCAATGGCCTTTGCTTTGGTTTCAGAAGGCTTTATCAAAAAAAAGAGAGAAATAAGACATTATATAACAAAATCTGTTGATTGTCAGGACATACACAGGAGAAAGTCTGATGTGGAGCCAGGTCATGATTGTGCCCGTCAGCTAATTTTAATGGAAATATATCTAGAATGCGCTCTGTAACTAATACAAATCAAATGCTGTTAATACTTATTTTTAGTGTCAACACTAAGTGTTAACAGATTCGAAAAAGAAAAGCCAGGAACATAGTCTCCAAGTAGCTAACAATCTAGAAGAGGAAATAGATATGAAAATAAGCAACATGTAACCGTTTGTAAAGGATATAAAAGGCACAGAAGCATCACAGGGGAGGAAGCAAATTTCTATCTTTAACAGTCACGGAAGACTTTAGAGAGAAGGTGACCTGGCCAAGCACAGTGGCTCATGCCTGTCATCCCAGCATTCGGAAGGCCGACGTCGGAGGGCTGCTTCAGCCTAGGAGTTGAAGACCAGCCAGGCAACATGGTGAGATTCCATCTCTACCAAAAAATTAATTAATCAATTAATTAATTTAAATGATTAGCTGGGTGTGGTGGCACATGCTTGTAATCCCAGCCACTTGGGAGGCTGAAATGGGAGGATCACTTGAGCCTGAGAGGTCTACACAAGCCTGGGCAACATGGCAAGTCTCAGACACGGTGGTATGCACCTTTAGTCCCAGCCACTCAGGAGGGTAAAGTGGGAGGATCACTTGAGCCTCCCAAAGTGCGGGGATTACAGGCATGAGCCACCATGCCCAGCCTTCTGACCTCTTTTCTTTCCCCAATCCGTGACAGGTTTATCAGCCCCTTCTTTGTGACACTGTGTATCCTGCATCTGCTTCCATTAACCCTGTCCCACTGGGTTGTAATCGCTTTTTGATGCTTCTCTCCTTTTAGAAGAGAAACAGGGTCTTTACTCATCTTCGTATCACCAGTGCTTTGACTGTGCCTGTCTCAGCAAGCACATATGGAATAAAGTATGTAGTTATGCCAGTGGAGAATGGACAGGGTTTGGCTGTGTCCCCACCCAAATCCCATCTTGAATTGTAAACCCCACATGTCAAGGGAGGGACCTGGTGGGAGGTGACTGTATCATGGGGCGGTTCCCCTCATGCTGTTCTCATGATAGTGAGGGAGTTCTCACGAGATCTGATAATTTCGAAAGTGCCAGTTTCCCCTGCACACTCCCTTCTCCTGCCATCATGTAAGATGTGCCTTGCTCCCCCTTCACCTCCCACCATGACTGTATAAGTGTCTTGAGGCCTCCCCAGCCATGTGGAACTTCAAGTCAATTAAATCTCTTTACTTTATAAATTACCCAGTCTCCGGTATTCTTTATAGCAGTGTGAAACCGACTAATACAGAGAACCTTACATCATTTTCAGAATTTGGGCCAGGTGATTAAGGGAGTGATTTGTTTCAAATCCTACAAATCCTTTAAATCCTTAAAGTGTTTGAAATTAGACTTTAGGCCATTTGTATCAAATTTAATATTAGCAGCAAACTTGCTTTTTCCTTTCATTATGAACTATTTTTAATTGCCCTATTTTACTCAACAGGCTATGAAAATAAGAACGGATTTTTAGATGTTTATCTTTAAATGCGTCTTTCCTACCTCCCTAGGTAGATCTTAAGCTGCTCTTTTTTCATCCAGGCACCTTTGCCACAGCAGGGGCTTAACAAAGAGTGGGGAATGATTTAACCCTTAGAAGATACCCCTCCTCCTGCAGGGATATGGAGTTTTTCCTGCTGACCTGCTTCCTCTGTGGGCTGTTTAAAGGTCTGCCCATTTTTCCTCACAGCCTCCAGCAAAAGGCAGAGCTGGCATTCTCCCAGCTCCCCAAGGCCAGCTCCTTCCCTCTGTTCTTCCCTTCTCTGAGAAATTCCTTTCTTCCACTGAGATTTGCTTATTCATTCAATGAACACTTACTGGCCTTCAGCAATATACCAGACTGTGTGCTGGGCCACAGAGGGAAAGTAAAGGCTCCAAGTGCCCAGAAGTCACTGCCCTGGGTTTCCTTCACATACCTCATCATATCTCATTTTCAAAATGCTTTTTGCTCTATCGGGTCTTTTCATGGCCATTTGCCTCCGATCGGTCCTTCTATTCTCCCAGAACCCAGGCATTTGACTCAGGATCTTCCTCTGGATCCCCCAAAACTGACAACACCCTGGGTGACTTGGCATTCATAAGGACAGACTTGGCCTCCCTAAGGACAGCCTTGGCCTCATGGGTTCCTTAAGTGTCTGCTCCGACAGACCACCCCCATGACCAACCCTGGACGTGGTCATGCAACAAGTTCTGGGATCCCACTCTGTGAAACAGCTTCAAAACTGTTCACCTGTCTCCTTTTTCCTTCGAACACACAGGAACCTCAACAGCATTCACATATAGACTCTAGAAGGGCCCAGTACCTTACCCTTGCCCTCAGGAGCTCACAGGCGTCAGTTACCTGTTCCACCTCCCCTCTGCCCACAGGAGGGCTTTGTCCCCCATGCTTCTACTGCCCCCTGTTGTGGGCCTGCTGCTTCCATTCGGAATACGCACCACCACCACCCCACCCCTGTGGTTTTCTTCCTCCATCCTTCTTGCCCCTCATTGTCACTTTTCCTTCTGGTGTTTTCATTCAAACACTGACCTGTATATAGATAAAGTCAGTCAAAGGGCAAAACCCTTGTTTTTCTCAAACTAAAACGAATCATTTCTTAATTCATTAATGGAGCAAAGACTTCCGTTCCTTTGGTATATCAGGTCCTATTCTAGGAGATGGGGATGCAATCGTGAGCAAGACACGTGAGCAAAGAAGCTAGACAGTAGACAAAATTAAACAAAGATATAAAGAGCCCAAGGGCGTTTAATGCTGATATGGTTTGGCTGTGCCCACCCCCACCCCCCACCCCGCCCCCACAAATCTCATCTTGAATTGTAGCTCCCATAATCCCCACATGTTGTGGGAGGGACCTAATGGGAGGTAACTGAATCCAAGGGGCAGGTTTCTCCTGTGTCGTTGTTCTCACAATAGTGAATAAGTCTCATGAGATCTGATGGTTTCACAAAGGGCAGATCCTCTACACACACTCTCCTGCCTGTTGCCATGTAAGATGTGCCTTTGCACCTCCTTCACCTTCCACCATGACTGTGAGGCCTCCCCAGCCATGTGGAACTGTGAGTCCATCAAACCCCTTTTTCTTTATAAATTACCCAGGCTCAGGTTATGTCTTTATTAGCAGTGTGAGCTAATACAATTGCTTTGACAGAAATTAAAGGCATGGAAGCGTGGGCAGTGGGAGGGGTGGAGGAAGTTGCTATTTATACAGGATGCCTTTGAGATAGATAATGTGTGGGCAGAAACCTGATGATGGCAAAGGAGCAAGGCATGCAGATAAATGGGCAAAACATTCAGGCAGAGACAACAGCAGTATCGAGAGCCTGAGATGGGGATACACCTGCAGTGTCTGAGGACAGCAAGGAGACCAGCATGACTGAAGCAGAGCAAGCCAGGGCAGAGGGGTGGGAAATGAGAACAGAGAAGAAATACAGAGCTCGGTCATGTTGGTCATTCTGAGGACTTTAGTTTTTATTCTGAGTGCCATGGGGAGCCACCGGAGGATTGTGAACAGAAAAGTCACATAATTTCTCTTAAAAATTTTAAGGATCACTCTGAGGGCTGTGCTGAGCACAGGTGGAAAGAAGGCAAGGGTGAACACAGGAGGACTAAACAGAAGGTGATTGCAATATCCAGGATAAGATGATGGTGCCTTGGGCCATGGGGGTGGGGGGCAGGGGCAGTGAGAAGCCACTGGACCCCAGTATATTGTGGAGGGTAGGTCTACTAGGATTTGCTGATAGAAGCGACATGGGACATGAATGGAAAGAGTCAAAGATGACTACAAGGTGTTTTACATGATAAGAGGAGTTTATGAATCTAATCTTTCATTATCAAAATCTCCTACAGGTGGCTCTGACACTTTTTCTTGGCTCTCAGGGAGCTTTAGTTGACTTAAGTTTTTGTTGTTGTTGTTGTTTTGGTTTTTGGTTTTTGGTTTTGAGATGGAGTTTCGCTCTTGTTACCCAGGCTGGAGTGCAATGGCGCGATCTCGGCTCACCGCAACCTCCGCCTCCTGGGTTCAGGCAATTCTCCTGCCTCAGCCTCCTGAGTAGCTGGGATTACAGGCACGTGCCACCATGCCCAGCTAATTTTTTGTATTTTTTGTAGAGACGGGGTTTCACCATGTTGACCAGGACGGTCTCGATCTCTTGACCTCGTGATCCACCCACCTCGGCCTCCCAAAGTGCTGAGATTACAGGCTTGAGCTACCACGCCCGGCCAACTTAAGTTTTTTATATAGTCCAGCTGTCTACAGAGTCTAGAAACATCATCTACAGGTAGCTGAGAATTTCTACATGTCACAATCTCTTCTGATGTACTTAATTTCTATATTTCCTTTCTAAATACCTTCGGTAATTTCCAGATTGTTTAAACAGACAATGAATTCAAAGTCCAAGTTTTGATTAGAATGAATGGAATTTTATCTAACTTTGTGATTTTATCTTTTTTTCCTGTTCCAATATTCACATGTATCTCAACAATTCCAAGCAGAACAGAAAGTAAATGAACATAATATACCACTTCCTCCAAGGTAGCAGGACCTTTTGATCTCAGGCGAAGTGTTCCCCTTCCACAACCAATGTTTTCTTCTGATGACTTTCCAGCCTTTGATCTTGGCTGTATTTCTACAAATACACAATGAACAGGGAAACATACATATTACACAGAAAGAATACCAACAGATTACTGTGAAAGCTAATGTAGTTTCTATCACAAAACGAAATACAATTGTTATAGAAATTTGATAAAAGGTAGGCCTTCTTATAGAATTCACCAAAACAAAATAGATTTACTTGGCATCCATTATTCTTATAGGAGGGTCTATGAGAGAGTTCTAACTCCAGGAAAAGGGAATATGTGAAATGTACAGATGGGAAAGACAAAGTTACAAGGAAGAAAAAAATAAAACAGTGGGCTTTATAAAAAAGAGTAAAGAGGGGTAAGTGATTTCATCAAGGTCACAAAAAAAAGAAAAAAATCACGTCTTGAAAGAAGAGAGGTTTCTTCTCCTAATGGACCAATAAAAAAGAAGAAACCAAAAAAAAAAAAATCAAAGAAAAAAAGAGAGAAGAGAGGGACAAGAGCACTAGCCTGTGCTTGATGCTTTATGTTTAAAAATCCCAATTAATACTCATACCAACCTATGAGACAGGTGATCGCCTTCATTGTACCAATAAGGGAAAGGAAGTCAGTAAGAAATGGGGCTGGGATTCAAAACCAGGTCTTGCAGGTACAGACCAGATTTCAAAGTCCATATGCTTTCCCGAACAATGCTCCAGCCTACACCTCTTGGAAGCACAAGGGGTAACATCAGAGTTGACATAGAAATAGGATGCAAAAGAAAAAGAGCCTGCGAGCAGGTTCCAAGGAAGGAATTCCCCGCAGACAGCAAGGACAAGAGCAGCGAGCAGGAGCCCACAGAAAGCCACTACTTTTCTTACGCTTGGTTCTTCTGTTGTGTCTTATTCTGTATTTGCAGCACACTAAGAGTAACCACCAAACATGTTACCAAGCAGTAACACAAAATGAGTGAAAGGGAAGGGTGATGAAAGAGGATAATTGGAAAAAATGTGCCCTATCTAGGCCCCACTCCAATAACTTATTGTGCTATGGGAATAAGCCCCGCGAAGCCAGATCATACCCCCCGCTTTTTTTTTTTTTTTTTTTTTTTTTTTTTTTTTTTTGGCAAAGAAACTGGATACTCAGGCCAGGGCAGTGGCTCATGCCTGTAATCTCAGCACTTTGAGAGAACAAAACAGGCAGACTGCTTGAGCCCAGGAGTTCAAGATCAACCTGGGCAACAAGGTAAAATTCCATCTCTACTAAAAATATAAAAACTAACCGGGCATGGTGGCACATGCTTGTAGTCCCAGCCACTCAAGAGGCTTAGGTGGAAGGACTGCTCGAGCTCAGGTGGTCAAGGCTGCAGTGAGCCATGACTGTACCACTGCACTCCAGCCTGGACAACGCAATGAGACCCTGAGAAAGAAAAGAAAAAAAGAAAAGAGAGACAGGGAGAAGAAAGGAAAGAAGGGAGGAAGGGAGAGAAGGAGGAAAGAAGAGAGGGAGGGAGGGAGGAAGGAAAGAGAGAAAGAAGGAAGGAGACAGAATAAAAGAAAGAAGAGAGAGAGAAGGAAAGAAAGAGGATACTCAAATTCACAGAAATAAAAAATTTAAAAATAGAAAAAATTAAAATAAAAAAAGAAAGAGAATACTCTTTTGTATGCATCTTTTGTGTGCATCTCCTGATTTTTAAATTTTTTAAGTTTGGGCAATTAAATCAAACTTTTAAAAACAACATATTGGCAAAAACAAAAGAGATCTATGGGCCAGATTCCAACCACAGGACACTAATTTTTTTTTTTTTTTTTTTTTTGCATTTTAGATTTTGGGGTAAATGTGAAGAACATGCAAGATTGTTGCATAGGTACACACATGGCAGTGTGATTTGCTGCCTTCCTCCCCTTCACCTATATCTGGCATTTCTCCCCATGCTCTCTCTCCCCACCCCCGTCCCTCCCCCACTTTCCCCCAACAGACCCCAGTGTGTAGTGCTCCCCTCCCTGTGTCCATGTGTTCTCATTGTTCAACACCCGCCTATGAGTGAGAATATACGGTATTTGATTTTCTGCTCTTGCCCAGGACGCTAATTTATAACCTCTGTAAATATTGTGAGCTTCCTGGACTGAGGACTCCGTATGGCAGCAGTTTAGGGGAAGAGGGAGGTGGGAAGGGGATGCTGCACTAAAGCAGGGGTCTCCAAACTCCGGGGATGCAGCCTGGTACCAATCCATGGCCTGTTAGGAACCGGGCCACACAGCATTACCTTACAGCCTGAGCTCCGCCTCCTGCCAGATCAGCCGTGGCATTAGACTCTCACAGTAAACAGACCCTATTGTAAACTGCGCATGCGAGGGATCCAGGTTGTGCGCCACTTGAGAATCCAGCTAACACCTGATGATGGGAGATGGATAAAAACAGTTTTTTCCTGAAACCGTTCTCTCCTACCTGCCCCATCTGTGGAAACATTTCTTAAGTGCGGTGGTCCCCAATCTTTTTGGCACCATGAAACCAGTCCCTGGAGCTGAAAAGGTTGGGGACCATTGCGTTAAAAGAAGGCACTCCAGTGAGCCGCCACAGGACAGGCTGGTGAGCACGCATAGGCAGTGAGGTCTATGCCAAGCTCTCATGACACAGACATCAAGTGGCCTGCATTCTTACTTAGAACCTAGGTGACATGGTTTGGTTCTATGTCCCCACCCAAATCTCATCTCAAACTGTAATCCCCATTATCCCCACATGTAAAAGGAGAGACCAGGTGGGAAGTGATTGGATGGTGGGGGAGGGAGGTTTCCACCATGCCGTTCTCATGACAGTGAATCAGTTCTCATGAAATCTGATGGTTTTGTAAGGCAGTTTTCCCTGCTCTTGCATGCTCTCTTTCACCTGTTGCCATATAAGACATGTCCGCTTCCCCTTCCGCCATGATTGTAAGTTTCCTGAGGCCTCCCCAGCCATGTAGAACTGTGAATCAATTAAACCTCTTTTCGTTATAAATGATTCAGTCTCAGGTATGTCTTTACAGTAATGTGAGAACAGACTAATAAGCCAAGATAATTACTATATTCAGCCAAGTACTGCTTTGCTATTGGGAATCTATGCCAAAGTGATTAAGGATTTTGCAAATTAATTTTGCATATTAATTTTGACCTGTATTCAGGAAAAGAATCACCAAAACTTAAAACATAAGTTTTCATCTGAGAATAAACCGATTAAAAATTATGTAATGAGTACACTAGCCCCACCTAACCAAAAACCTATAAATGGTGGCTGATGAGTTGGAGAACACCCAAATGCTAATCCTGGTGACCAGACATTCACAGGAGACCAAAGCTGTATCAGCAAGCCTGTAGTATTGGCCTTGGTAGTTACAATCTGTCCTGTGTGAGGGGAAAAAAGAACTCTCATGCACTCAGCATAGAGTTTCAAAATGAGTACAGAAAGAAAAAGACTAAGTTGACCTGTCCAGGACAGGATCAGCACTGTCCAGGGTTCTGTACTGCCTAGCAGTGTAAGTGTTCCCAGCCCAGAGTCATGTATATCCCTAAAGCAGTGAAGACAGCCTCGTCTTAATGGTAGTAATCTTAAGACAAGCAACCTCCTTCCCCGACTCTACTGCAATTTCACCAAGCAACCTACTTGGTACAATTTGTCTGCCCATATAAATTTCCTAAAGGGTGGAAAATGAACTTCTCATCTAACACACGTGTTTTGGTTTACCACTGAATATATATTTCTAATTGCAAAATAATATATTGTCATTCTGATTTTTCAAAAAGTGTGTTTTGTAAGTTTGGTGAGCATGATATAGCCCTGAAAAACTGAACAACTCCAAATACATTGAAAAATAAAAGGTTTCTGGGACTTATAAAGCTAAGGACCCAGTCTCTGGAATGTGGGGCATCACAAAGGTTGTATCATTCCTGCCTAAGAAGTCAGCTCTCCTCTCTGCATGATGTTTCTATCTCATCTTGCTCTTACCTGCAGCACTGGTAGCCAGAAGGGAAAATGTATGTAGCATGGAAGAGTCTTCATCAATAAATTTTATTTGATAGAGCAGTTTTAGGTTTATAGCAAAACTGAGCAGAAAGTACAGAAAGTATCCATATGACCCCTATCCCCATTGCACGGGCACAGCCTCTCCCATTATCAACCTCCAGCACCAGAGTAAAACTTCTGCTACAACTTGTAAACCGACATTGACACATCGCAATCACCCAATGTCCGTAGTTTAGAGTTCACGCTTAGTGTTACACATTCTATGGATTTGAATAAATGTATATTATAATATGTATCCACTATTGTAATATTATGCAAAATGGTGTTTCTGCCCTAAAAATCTTCCGAGCTCCTCCTATACATCCCAGATTTTTTTAGTATTTGCCAAGCCATCGTCTCAAAGGTGGCATCTCAAAGCTAACCACTTGGTGGCACCAAAGCAAAAGTTAAATTTTAAATTCTGGCTTGGACCAGGCTCCAGAAGGGCAGTTTTCACCTCCAAGGAAACAGAAGCCATGTTTCTATGAGCCTATGATTCAGGTACATAAATCAATCTGTTTATACACAAGAACAAGCAGGATGGTCCTGTTCACCCACAGGGGGAAAAACAGGTTTCGTGTTTTTGAAATGTTTTGGAGATCACAAATGTTTATAGCCTGGCCTACTTTTGACATGCTGGCCTGTCTAAGCACATCTGGCCAGCCAGGTCAAGCCCTAAATCAGTCAGTTCACATGAACAGATCTGCATGAGGCTTCTCTTGGGGCTGAGTTATGAGAGGGATGCAGTGGATACAGCAGTCACTGCTACCAGCCTGCACCTGCAACTCGCTGATTCACTAGATGTATCAGGGCTCCCAGTTGAGGGTACTGGCCATCCACCTGCCATACATCATTTAGGGCACAGGAGCACACAGCTTGTGGGTGCCTAACCACTCCCACCATGGAGTTGCACATAGCCTAACAGCAGTCAGGTTTGTTCCCAGACCTTTTTGTGGCAATTGTATCTGTTACTCTAATTATGCGCTTTAATTTAAAAGTGCATCAGCTGATGAAGTTACTGCAAAGC